AGAAGAGATACTTCTTACCTTTAGTGTTAGAGAGGAGATGTCTATCCATTGCTGTTGGAACTGTAGATTAAATATGGTGATTGAGAACCCCAGAGACTTTGCTGTTCTGGACCAGCAGCTTCTAGCCTACCCTTGGGAACCCTGTTGTCATTATGTTCTGCAAACAATCTGCAGTGAATCCTGTGAGAGCCGGAACTCAGTGGGGCTGCCTTGTTTTTCCGGGTCTCGTAAATTTTCCGCCTTTGACAAGGTGCAGTCTTACCACTTTTCTATCACTCTCTATTTGTGGAAAATACTTTGAGTTTTCCTTCTTTGACAGATTTCCACCTTACACAGGTTCCGACTTCCACAGGTTTTACTGTATATAGTGGTTGACATCCTGGGCTATATGGTCAGACAGACCTAGGATTGAATTCAGGCTCTTCCCTTTACTTATAAAGCCCACAGTCTGGCTTTGGGCAAGTTATTTAATCCCTCTGTGTCTCCATTTCTTCATTTGTCAAGTGGGAATGATAACACCTGCATTATGGCATTCTTCTGAGGATTAAATGAGAGAATGTATTTAAAGCAGTTAGCGCAGTGTCTGACTCTTGGAAAAGACTATCAAATGAGAGACCTGGTTATGGTTATGACCTTTTGAGCCAGTCTGTGGTTGGGAGCCACCACTGGGGGCAAAGAGAGCCACTTCCTCAAAGCCGAGGAAATGAATGAAATCAGAGGACAATGAGATTGTGTCTATTAAGAAAAAAGTAGAGACGAAACTGAGGGGCCAAGTTCTCATCAATCGGCAGGACTCTGTAATGCAGGAGCCAAGGAGATGGGACTACTGAGCAGTAACTTGGGAGTCAATAAAAGATGTTCCCAGAAAGTTACTGGCTGTCCTGGATCAGGCTTTCTGTGCCAGTTTCACCGTGGTGTGTAGATGGGACTAGAGGCTTAAAGGAAAGTTCTCCGTGACACTGTAGCTTTAAGTCTCGCAAGCCACTGTTTTGTACCTATCTTTTCCTCCCCCCATTTAATTCTGTAAAGGTTGCTCCTGCTAAATAGTTGAGGTTTACCGTTTTCCCCTTACTTTCTTCTGTGCAATGTCTGTCACGACACTCGGGACTCCAGCATGGTGTATTTGCAGCGCGTGGGTGGTAGTGCTGTGTTCAAACCCTCCTTTCCTATTTCCTGGCTTAGACTACAGGACGTAACATCTCTGGTCCTCAGTTGACTCATCTGTAAAATGAGGAAAATCATAGTTCCAGTCATGTAGTTACACATTGCTGTTAGTAGAGTGGTCCAAGCTTGGGTGTTACTCTTCTGTATAAAATAGGTGAATCAGTCATCATTATTGTCTTAAAACCCACAAAGGAATTTTCCACTTTCAGCCTGGATTGGTAGGACTAGATGTCTCCAAAGGACTAGGTTTCTCCAAAAGACTCGCAAACTCAAATGCCTATGGATGTCAGGCACGTGAATGAATAAAAGCCGTTTAGTTAAATACTTTGCTTGTAAAAACATACAAAATATGGACCCAGCCTTTCCAAGTGTTCAGATTTTTCAAGAGAATATGGAAATTTGTTTTTTAACACCAAGTTTTTTGATTTTCAAATGTTGGTAATTAAAAATTTTCATTTGTAATCGCTGTGAGCCAAACAAAACCTATCTGTGGAGTCTAGTAACAGTACATAAGAGGCCAATTTCAGGTCTGTGGCTTATACTTCTGATACGCTCTCAGGTGGCTTATGGGGAGTTGTTACGGACTGTTTTAAAAGTATGTTTAATTTTGAAAGAGACGTTGTTTACATTCTTGCATGTGTTTAATATTGCTGTAGGGTAAAAACATCACAAAGTTTAGTAAAGCAAAAAGGAAGTTTTATTCTGCATATACTCAGAAGTACTTTATATCTAAGTATGGGTCATATACTGAAAAGGGGTGTAGACTGGTGTGCAACGCAGAGTATGGGCACCGCCGTGGGAAGGTTTGCAGCCAGCACGTGGAGAAGTCAGAGGAGCTAGTTTAGGATGGGATTCCCTGGATGATGCAGATGGTTAAGTGCTCGACTACTAGCTGAAAGGTTGGCAGTTTGAACCCATCCAGAGGCGCCTAGGAAGATAGGCCTGGTGATCCGCTTCTGAAGGTCACAGCTTTGAAAACCCTGTGGAACACAGTTCTACTCTGCACACTGGGGTCACCATGAGTCAAAATCAACTTGATGGCAACTACGGCAAGTTTTAGGATGAGTGACTTGACTTTAGACACTCACCTGCCCTTGACTGAGCAGCTTAAATAAGCCATATTGGCAAGCCTGTTTTCCTCATCTGTACGCTAAGCTGACAAAGACCAGCAGCCATCTTGGAGTTGAAGGAAATACTGAGAACACGTCATTGAAGACCATCTCTAATGGCTTGTTCTTTCCTCTTTCCCTGCAGAAAGGCACCGCCTCACTAATAGCTCCTCTGCTGAAGCACAAATGACATTGATAGTCTATAAGTATGTAATGAATCGAAGGGCGTTGCCTTTGCTGTCTTTTTTGGGAGGATATTTTTTTTCCCCTCTGAAGGGATAAAGAGGAAGAGGGACAGGTAGGGCGAGTAATTTGTCTGTCCCCTGCCTCAAATTTTGAGAACCATTCGTCCTCTAGTAGTCTTAATTAGGCATGTTTTATTTAGCGAATACTGTCATTCTCAAATACTTCCAGGCATGTATATGGTCTCAGTGCTAGTCCAAAGACTACAGTTGGGGTTCTACGTGCCAGCGTGAAGCACCGATGTGTGCGTGTGTGTGTGTTTGTGTACACGTGCAAGCAAGCGTGTGTTCTTAGTGCGTTTTGGAGGTCAATGCTACTTGAAAAAAAAAAATGAGCCACCATTTAACATTTGGGAGATTTCACATAAAAATCTGGATTTCCAGCTTCTTTTGTAAAATCAGAAGAACTAGCAGCTGCAGGTTGGCCTTCCCACATATTCACAATTGCCTGGAGCTGAACATTAGCCTATCCGTGTGAATGGGGTGTTAGCCACAGTCACCATCATTTTAATTTTATTTTGCAAACCTCCTGGCTACCTTCAGTCTGTGTATCTGAGGTTCTTAATCCGAAAATGGACGTTATTACATGGATTTATTTATGGATTAACTTGTAAAACATTTGGAAGCATCTGTAAGGTTAAACAGTCAACGCTAGCTAGCTGTTACTGCTGTTGCCTTTTGTGCATGCAAAGGAAACCATCGAGGTGTAGTGGTTAAGAGCTACGGCTGCTAACCAAAAGGTTGGCAGTTTGAATCCACCAGGCGCCCCTTGGAAACCCTGTAAGGGCAGTTCTACTTGTTCTATAGGCTCGCTATGAGTCAGAATCGACCCTAAGGCAATGGATTTGGTTTTTTTCTTTTTCTTTTTTTTTTTTTAAGGTTTATGTTGCTACTTGAGAGTTTTGACTTAAAAAGAAAGAAAGAAAAAATACTGAATCACTTAAAGTGAGGCCAGGCTCCAGGTCTAGAAGGAAAAACAGGCACAGACTCCAAGTGAAAAGGCCCAGTCCCAAGTCTTCTCCAGTCACCTCGAGTGATCTCTGAACCTCTCTGGGCTTTTGTTTCCTTGTCTGTAAAATAAGAAGAGTTCGATTTAATGTCTTCAGAGGTCCATTTCTAAAATGGAATGAGATGATGGAAAAGGTATGGGGGAAAAATTGAAAGAGGTCATGCTGTGACAAAGAAAACCAAACCCATTGCCCTCGAGTCGATTCTAACTCATAGCGACCCTATGGGACAGAACAGAACTGCACCATAGGGTTTCCAAGGCCGTCATTTTACCGAAGCAGACTGCCACATCTTTCTCCCCGAGGAGTGGCTGGTTGGTTGGAACCTCTGACCTTTTGGTTAGCAGCCGGGTGCTTAACCACTGTGCCACCTGGACTCCAAAGATGCTGAGAAGGGTTAATTTTTTCCCTGAAAGAACTGAGCACTCTTTCAGAATTTCCTTAGAGAAAATTAATGTTTACCACCCTGCTTACGAATTTAAACCATGGTGCAGTATTATTCTTCGATTACCAATTAAATATTGCCTTACCCCCCAGGAAAGAGAAATGGTCACTGCTCCGTAGCAAAGACATCCATGTTTACTCTGTGGAATGTTTAAGTAGCAGAAGGGGATGTCAAGACCAGGCGGCCTGAGGAAGCTCACTCGCTAGAGTAACTGCTGCTGCAAAATGTGACCCTGTGTTAGCAGGTCAGGCACAAGGGTGCTGAACAAATGTGGCCCCATGAATTGTGAATGAGAAAAAGGAAATTGCACGTCTTTGTTTATAAAAGTCCTTTGTGTGGTAGTGGTTTCCCCATCTTTCAAAATATTAACCATTATTGATACCTGGGTATCTTTGTGCGTAAGAATATAATTGAACTTTGATTTTAGTACCACATCATACTACAATCAGAAAATTAGTGGACTTGATCCTTTGGCTAAATTATAGGGAATATCAGTTCATTTTTGGATATGCATTAATTTTTTTTAGATCACCTAATAATAAATTTTAAAGTTGAAAAGGACCTTAGGAATAATTTATTTTAAATTGTACACCTCTGGTGACATCCTAATAGCCTATAAAGGTGTCTAGAAAGTCTAGTTCATCACATATTTGCACCCAGTTAGGCTTTGTGTTCCGAGAATTAAGAGTATCTTGACATAATTTTCAGCCATAGTTTATAATGGAATTGAAACAATTTATAGGAGATGAGGCCTAAGGAAGGTAGATTTCAATTAAATTCAACCTGTGTAGCCTTAGGATAAGAGGTACTAATGGGGTTTTTTTAAAAATGTAGATTGTAATTTTCTGTATTCATTTGAGTAGTGGTCAAAATCACCATTAACATGTATGGAATATTATGGCGGTATGTTGGGTAAGAGGTATTCAAAGAATTGAACGTTAGTCTCAGTCTAGGATGTTAGGAACAAATATAATGAAGAGAGCACATGCAGAGAGAACACTCTAAACTTTATTTCTATTTTAATATATTTCAGAGACCATCATGCAGACATCAGAGACTGGGTCGGACACAGGTTCGACGGTGACTTTACAGACATCCGTGGCTAGTCAAGCAGCAGTACCTACGCAGGTGGTACAGCAAGTACCAGTACAACAACAGGTAAGGAGCTGCTGTTCCCCAAGAAGGTGCTGTTGCTTTTCTTGTGCTGGCTCTTGAACATAGCTGTGTCCAAAGATTATTTGGGCTATATTTGCTTTCCTCATTGGGTACTAAGATAGCATAGTTCAGCTCTTGGCTCAAGTCAACGAATGTTTCTCAAGCATTTCCTGGGCAAGCCAGGTTCTGTGCTAGGCTGTAGGGTTGCAAAAATGAATACTTAAATAGAATCTCTGTTCTCAGAGAACCTCCCTTGCCTGCCAAAGAGAATATTATTTTTCTAACTTGACCACCCCAATTAGGTTTTCCCTTCCTCTCTTCCCCTCCCTTTTCTTTATCGCAACTTCTTATTTCTTTCATATTGAAATGTCAGCAGTAATACTTAATAAACAAGAGGATGTGGGTACCTTCCGGGCAGGGATTTTGCCTTTGTGGTATTTTAGAAAGTGCCTTGTGCTTTATGGTGGCTGATAAATACTGTTTAATGAAAATAAAATTATCTTAAAGGTCTGGAGATCTGACTCATCCCATTTAAAAACTTGGGAATGAATTCATCATCCGATGCTTACTGCAGGTTTTATTCATACTCAGGGCAGTTGGCTTGTTTTGGAAAGATACTGACAAAATAATGCCATTCATTCCAGTTTATACTTCTGCATGTGGATTGTGAACACATTGGCCCATCACTTCTTCCAAAGAGTAGGGAGGAATAAGTGAGAAAGATCATATGTCTTAGAGCATTCTCTTGAGACTCGAGATTTGCCTGTAACTTCTTTGTATCAAGGAAAATCTCAACAAATATTACTCCTACAATTGTAAATAAGTAGTTAGGGGGAGAGACCTGTTGTTGTTGGGAGGCGCCGTCGAGTCGGTTCCAACTCTTAGCTACCCTGTGTACATCCGAATGAAACACTGCCCGGTCCTGTGCCATCCTCATGATCCTTGTTATACCTGAGCCCATTGTTGCAGCCACTGTGTCAGTCCATCTCATTAAGGGTTTTCCTCTTTTTCGCTGACCCTCTACTTTACTAAGCACGATGTCCTTCTTCAGTGACTGGTCTCTCCTGATAACATGGCCAAAGTACGTAAGACAAAGTCTCAGCATCCTTGTTCTAAGGAGCATTCTGACTGTACTTCTTCCAAGAGATGTGTTCGCTCTTTCCTAGTATCAAGGAAAATCTTCAACAAATATTAACTTTTATAATTGTAAATTAGTTAGCAGTATCTGAAGATAGTATATTCAATATTCTTCACCAACACCATAGTTCAGAGGCATCAGTTCACCTTCCGTCTTCTTTATTCACTTGTCTGTCAGTTTGTTGTACTCCAGTGGCTTGTGTGTTACTGTGATGCTGGAAGCGATGCCACTGGTATTTCAAATATCAGTGGGATCATCCATGGTGGACAAGTTTCAGCAGAGCTTCCAGACTAAGATAGACTGGGAATAAGGACCTGGCAATCTACTTCTGGAAAAAAAAAAAAAGTGAAATCCTTATGGATAGCAACGGAACATTGTATGTGACCTGTGTGGTTTTTTTCTCTCTGAAAGTTAATAACCAAAACCAAATTCACTGTCATCAAGTTGATTTCTGACTCATAGTGACCCTATGGGACAGAATAGAACTGCCGCATAGAGTTTCCAAGGAGCACCTGGTGAATTCAAACTGCCGACCTTTTAGCACTTGCTGACCTATGGTTAGCAGCCACAGCTCTTAACCAGTACACCACCAGGGTTTCTAGAATGTTTTAAATCCCAGTTTCTTGAAATTTCATGATGTGCCTTGATGTGAGCCTGTTTTCATACATTGTACTGGAACCTCAATGGCCCTTTTCATTTTGGACATTCATGTTCTGTTCTGGAAATTTTCTTCAATGTTTTCATATATGCTTACCTCCATTCTGTTTTCTCTGTTCTTTCTGGACTTTTTAATTCTACTTTCAATTTCATCTTCCAGCCCATCTATTAATTTTCATTTCTGCTGTCATATTTTTAATTTTCAACAGCTTTTAAAAAATTCCCTATATGTTCCTTTTCATACTATCCTGCTTTATTTCATGGTTATAATATCTTTCTTTTTCTCTCTGAAGATGTTAATTTTTTTTAAATTGCTGTTGCTAAGATCTTTGTCTCCTTCCATTGTCTGTTTCCTTCAGGGTGCTTTGTTCTGTTTGTTTCTTTTTGTCTCTTTTTCATATTAAAAGCTTTTCTCAGATGTCTGGTAATTTGGGGGTGTTTATCCATATTTTAAGGAACTCTGGTGGCACAGTGGTTAAGCACTTGGCTGCTAACTGGAAAGGGTGGCAGTTGAATCCACCAGCTGCTCTGCTAGAGAAAAGAGCTGGCGATCTGATCCTCTATAGTTTATGGCTGCGATAACCCTACAGGGCAGTTTTACTCTGTCCTGTAGGGTTGCCAAGAGTCAGAATCTACTCGATGGCACACAACATCAACATCCATATTTAAAATGTGGGGATAAAAAGCTGTTTTGAATGCATGAGTGGGTTTTGTTGATTTCAACATAACATCATCTGACTGGGCTTTTTAACTGGGGACCTTCTGATGTTCAGTATCTTTGTTTTGCCTCTTGGGCTAGTCATGTTTTTCAAAGAAGACTTGTCCAGTTTCCTGCTTGCTGGGTGAAAGCTTGGCTGCTGGCGTTCTGGATGCTGGCTGAGAGGGGGAAGAGAGTCGGGCATTTCTTGTGCTTATTCACTTAACCATCTCTTTTCCATATGGTATCACCTCTGCTTGACCTCCCACCGTGCAGCAATTACGACAAAGAATCAACCTCCAAACTTTCACCAGAGGCAGAAAAGGCTAGTCACCTTGCTGCATAGGGTCGTTGGAGTGGATGTGGAAATCTGATTGCTTCTTAAATAGAATCATTTTTTTAATATTAAATACGTATTTTAAAAAGAAAACTTTATATTGCTACCACAAGTGGAAAATCAGTGTACCGAGCCATAAATAGATGCTTACACACACACACACACACACACACACACGCACACACACACACACACACACACACACACTTCGTTCATGTCTTCCCGTTGTCATGAGTTGAAGTGGACTCTAAGGCACCTAGCCACAACAACAACACCTGGACTACACTTTGGAGGGCGTTGTACTTGGCCATATGGCTTGTCTCCAGCAGGAGTATTTTCTAGTCCCTTAAGTTAGCTCTTTCCTCTGGGACTTTCTAGGCAGGTGAGACCTTACATCTCCTTGCACCAAGCATAGAAGGTGAGAACTCTTATTTTCTCTTTGTCAACAAAGTGTTCTATTTCACCCAGTCGATTAGTGTGAGATTTGCCTGGAGACACTTCTCATGTAGTTCTTCCAGACTTATTTGGAAAGATTCTTCCCCTCCTCTCTCATTTATTGTTTTTCTTTTCTTTTTTCCTTTCATTTTATTCCCACGAGAACAGTATCATGTTTGAAGCTCTGCAGTTGATTCAGGTGGTATCTCTGGGATATAAGTTGTCTGTAACAGATAAGATGAATCTAGATTAATTTCTTAGGAGTGTAACAGGAGCTTGATTGTTAATATACAGATGTCATCCTGAGTTTTCAGACTGTGGTGGAATTCGTTTAGAAGCTCCTAGCTTTTGTTACTGACTCATGTTGAATGTTGAAATTGTGGCATTGATGTCAGAGGCAGTTACTCCTGCTGATTCAGTTTTGTATTGTGCCTTGCTTGGCCATTTTGCCATAAAGAGAGAGCCTGTAGCAGTTGTTTTTTAAATGTTGAGACACTCAATATTAAATATTTTGGAATATTGAGAAAACAGAAAATTTCAAGATCCTGGTATTACATTGTTCAGTTTCTTCAAAGCCCTAACTGTTCTAATCTTCTTATATAAGTACCTAATAAAATGCTGATTATAAAATTATTTCTGTGGTATTTAGTCTATTCTTTATGACCTCAGGAATCAGTATGTCACCTTCATAAGACAATATGGTTCAGGAATGAAGAATTCTGAGCAAAGAATAGCAAAGTCTGGTTATATTATACTTTATCAAATTTCCTATTTTATGCAGTAGTTTTTTATTTCACAGAACATTATAGAGTCTCAGCTTCCAAATATGGACGTTGTTGCCCAATTTAATAAAATCTATAAAATATTCCAGTTAAATATTTTATAGAAACCAAAATTTTGATATTATCTATGCTATCATCTTTATGAAAAGATTTTTGGATTTATGAGTCTCTGTAGGATATGATTTAACTAGATATGGACTTGCCCCACCCACCAGCTCTGTACCCCTGCCTTGAGTTATTCGTTAAGCTTCATGTAGATTATTCTTCAATGGGTGCAGCAGATGGTTAGGTGCATGGCTACTAACCAAAAGATTGGTGGTTTGAATCCACGCAGAGGCACCTCAGACGAAAAGCCTGGTGGCAATCTACTTACAAAAAATCAGCCTGTGGAGCACACATCTTCTCTGATACACATGTGGTCGCAATGAGGCGGAATCGACTTGATGGCCACTGGTTTGGGTTTCTGTTTGTTTATAACCCTGCTCACCCTAGAACTGAATTAAAAATCCAGGAGAGGGAAAAGGGAAAATGTCTTTCCACAATTCCACCTCTTCTCTTAAAAAAAAAAAAAACCCATTGCTGTCAAGTCGATTCTGACTGATAGCGACCCTATACCAAAAAAAAAAAAACCCAAACCCATTGCTGTCAAGTCAATTCTGACTCATAGCAACCCTATAGGACAGACTAGAACTGCCCCATAGGGATTCCAAGGAGTGGCTGGTGGATTTGAGCTGCCTACCTTTTAGTTAGCAGCTGAGCTCTCAACCGCTGTGCCGCCACAGCGACCCTAAAGGACAGAGTAGAACTGCCACATAGTTTCCAAGGAGCGGCTGGTGGATTCGATCTGCTGACCTTTTGCTTAGCAGCCATAGCTCACCATAGCTCTTAACCACTGTGCCACCAGAGCTAGCCCAGAGTAGGTAGAACCTAGACAGAAGTCAGATCTTTTATTGTTTG